AAAGTTCTTCCCTGTGAGGGTGGTGAGACCATGGCAGAGGTCATCCAGAGAAGCTGTGGCTGCCCCTGGATCCCTGGAAGTGTCCAAGACCAGGTTGGATGGGGCTTGGAGCAACCTGGGCTAGTGGAAGGTGTCCCTGCCCATGGCAAGGGGTGGAACTGGATGGTCTTAGGGGTCCCTTCCAACCCAAACCATTCTGAATCTATTATTCCATGATTCTAGAAGTTAGTTGGGAAACCTGGTAACACCTGGAATCCCCAAGGATTATTGGCCACTGCCCATTGGAGACCTCATTGGCATTGGCACCATTGCTGCCTCTCTTGGGGTTCTCCGGCCAAGGCATGAAGGGAGAGCAGGAAGAAAGGACAACACTGCTCCCCCACACACTTTTTTTTCCAGTTCTTAAGTTTTAGATGAAGGTCTTGGCCAGCATTAACATGTGAGAGAAAAAAAAGCTCCATCCAACCCTACAGGGGCTGTGAGGTCTGAGGGGCTGGTGAACCAGACCCCACTTCCCCTGTTCCTCTCACGAGCTGCAGGGAGGAAGGTGGTTATTTATTGTTCATCTCTTCAGTTACGATGAGCAGGCACAGGGCAGGAGGGCCATGAGGTTTGGGACTTTTACAGACCCTTTTGGAGGCACAGGACAGGAGGGCCATGGGGTTTGGGATTTTTACAGACCCTTTTGGAGGCACGGGGCAGGAGGGCCATGTGGTTTGGGATTTTTACAGACCCTTTTACAGACCTGACCCACATCCCATGGCCAAGCCACCACACCAGAGCATCCCAGCACACACACTGAGCTTCCACCAGCTGCACATGGAGATGCAGGAGCCTCTCCTGATTTATGGGAAGACCTGGGCCATGCACCAGGTTGTGGTTTGCCAGCACTGAGAGGCTTTGTCTGCCCTGTGTGGATACAGGAGGAGACAGCTTATACCAGCAGGGATGTTTTTTTTCCAGAATAGGAAACCATCCCTCTGGATGACTAAACCAGAGTCTTTTGGCTTGTTCGTGTTGGCTCAAGCTGAGCAGGCAGCTGTTAAGGATTGGAGACAGAAAGGGTCCCCCACTGCAGCAGCTGGCATCAGCCCAGCTTTGTGGTGCCAACCCAGCCTCAGGACCCCCTGCCATCCCCTGTGGCAGCTTGGAGAAGGTCCTCTCCCACCCCCAGCTCTATGTAGGTATGGAGGGGACTCCCATGGGACCAAATTATTCCACTTAACGAGCAGGAGAAACCTCTCTCAGCATCCGAAGTTCCATCCCAGTGCAGTGGTGGGATGTCACCATGCAAGTGCTGGGGTGGGTGAACCCCCAGCTACTGAGAAGTTTTGTGGCATCATGTAACCCCTTTCTTCTTGCCCAAATAAATACTGAGTGTCTGCCTTTTTTGTGACATTTTTCCTGGGAGCTCAGCCCCAGAGCTTGCTTGGGGATTTAATCAGCTTTCCTTAGCGGAAAGGTTGGATTTTCTGGAATGGCACAGCCATGCTCCCCTCCCCTGTGGTCCCTGTGATCCCTGCAGGGCACCCACATCAAATCAGACAAAGCATCATCTCTGCAGGAACACAGGGAAACCCTTGGATGTTTGGCACCCATCGAGTGAAAGCAGGATCAGGTCCTTGCTCTGAAGATCAGCATGGAAATCTCTGCTCTAATAACAGACAGTGGGGAGGAGCTTCAAACAAAGCCTGGTGAGGAGGTGCTGCAGGAGATCTGGGTTCAGCATCCAAGCTCTTGGATGTCAAGCACTTACCAAGCACAGTCAGTTCACAGCTGAGGTCTGGAGCTGGGTTTAAGTTGCTGTGATGCTGGTTGGAAAGTTCTGGAGGCCTCCAGCCCAACTTTGCAGCCCAAGCAGGACTGTCATCATCATCAGACCAGGCTGGCCTTGACATTTCCCAGGCATGGCACTAAGACATCCCGGGATGGAGATGCCTCCACCTCACTCACAACCTCACAGTCCGTTCAGCAGCCAGGTGATTCCTTATTTAGGAATTTTTTTGCTCCTTGAGGCTTTGGAAATGATCTTCCCTCTAAAATAAAGGAGTCTGGGTGGAGAGAGGAGGAAGGCTCTTGCTCACATCGGGATGTTTTGCACTGAGAACTTGCTCCCCGGAGCTTTTAAGGAAGAAATCCCGATGCAGGGAGTCGATGTCTCTGCTCCCATTTCCATCTCCTCCTCCACTTCACCACATGCCTGAGCAGATTGATGCTTTCTGCTTGAGTTCCCCAGGGAAAGTCCTGGGCCAGGGATGCTCCTTCAGGAAGAAATTCCTCACAGAAAGGGTGATCAGACAGTGGAAGGGGCTGCCCAGGGAGGTGGTGGAGTCCCCACCCCTTGAGGTGTCCAAGGAATGACTGGAGGTGGCACTCAGTGCTCTGGGCTGGGGGACAAGGTGGGGATGGGTCACAGGTTGGACTTGATGGTCTCAGAGGTTTTTTCCAGCATAACTGATTCTGTGATTCAGGGCAGAAAATATGTAACCAGTTCTGCAGCTGCAGTCCAGGGATCTCTGAGATCTTTGGGATCTTGAAATGAAATGGCTCCAAGAGAAAGGAAATCACCCTGCCAGGGGTGCCTGCTCAAAGTGAGCCACTTGTGCAAGGAAAAGGGAAAAGAAAACAAAAGGATACAGGGAAAAAAGAGTTTAGGTTTAATAGAGTCTATTTTTCCTTTCCTCAAGAGGTGGATGTTCAAAGCCTCTTCCCCAAGGCAGAAGGAGGATTTTTAGGGGGATAACTCCAACCCAGGCTGGAGGTCACCTCGTGGGGTTGAGTCTGGGTGCACAGTCCCAAAAAGGGCAGTGCAGAGACGGATAAACCCCCCCTAAGGGATGAGACCAAGTCTTGGTGGTTCTGTCCATGGGGACAGGGAAACACAATGGCCTGGATGCAGCACAAAGGGATGCTGGATGCCAGCTGGGGGGTCTCTGTTGGCTCTCAGAGGTGGTGGAGGGGCTCTGGGGGTGGTGACTCCGGTGGGTGGAGAGGTTCACATCTCAAAGACCAGAGACCTGGCTTAGAAATGGGAGTTCAGGGTTCAAAAGTTTATGACTTGCCTGAGAGCGCCAGGAGCACGGGTTATCCTGGCGCTTCCAGCATTCTCCAAAGTCTCTCCTATCATGATTTATTCATCTGTGGGAAGAGCTAAGACATAACTCAGCTCCCAAAGGGAGAACAAGCACAGCCTAAACCAGCTGCCTGTCTCCTGTGAGCTCTGCCCAGCCTGGGCCTGCTGCAGCTCCGTGCCGTGATCCAAGGGCTCCTGCTTGGGCAGCTTCCCCAAATCCCACTGGGGAGGAGGGTCCACATCCTGGCAAAGCTCCTGGGTCAGCTCTGGTTATTGCAGGAGCAGTCCTTGGCTGCTTCCAAGGTGCACACGCTGGGAATCTTCTGGCAATGCAGAAACCAGCCTGTTTCTTGGAATTCTTTGCCTCTGGAGTTAAAGGGCGAAATTAAGAGTCTGAGTCACCACAGGGACCCATTCTGGTATAAATTACGCCTTCCCCACGCACCCCAGCAGTGTGTTTTGCCCTGGTTTAAATGCACCATAACCCATATTTGATTCTTTTAGCATTATTGGTGTTTTACTGTTCTTGCTGCTGTTTGCCCACCAATGCCAAGGTTGTTTGTGAGGCTCCAGCCGGTGACTCCTTTGATCCACAGACATCCTGCCAACACAAAATTCACTTGAGCAAATAAGTCTAAATTAGTGGCAGCTTTGTGTGGCTTTATTTCCCTCCCTTCACCACTGCAAATAATCCCATGTAAGTGCTGAGGCCGGAAGGCTCCCGATGGGAATCCTGATTGCTCTCCTGCCTCAGTGCTGGCAGCTGGGAAAGCAGGAGAAGGAGCTCTGGACCATCCTGTATCACTCTGCTCTGAGTGATGGGGGGGGTTGGATGGCAAAGCAGGGAGAGCAGAATCCAGGTCCAGCTTTTATCCGGGCTGGATGGGGCTTGGAGCAACCTGGTGTAGTGAAAAGTGTCCCTGCCCATGGAATGGGCTAAATGGGCCCCATGGATGGAGCTAAATGATCTTTAAGGTCCCTTCCAACCCAAACCATTCTGGGATTCTATGGACACATCATCCTATTCACCCAATTCTCTGCCCCTCTCTTCCCCCATTAGGAAGACCCCAAAATAACCATTTGAGGGGAAACAAGAGGGTTTGAGCCATTCCTTTTTTGAAAAAAAATAAGTTGTCAGACCCCAAACTTCCAATTTGAGCAAAAACAAGCTGTCAGAGCCTAAAATTCCCATTCGAAAAAAAACCCAGCTGTTGGACCCCCACATTCCTATTCATGCAAAAACAAGACTCCAGATCCTAAAATTCCCTTTTGAAAACAAACAAACAAACAAAAAAATTAAAACAGGCAGTCAGACCCCAAATCCCTATTTGACGAAAACCCAGCTGTCAGGCCCCAAAATCCCCCTTTAGCAAAAATATGCCAGATCCCAAAATCTCCATTTGAGGAAAAACAGGCCATCAGACCCCAAATCTCCATTTGAGGAAAAACAGGCCATCAGACCCCAAAATCTGCTATTTGAAAAAAAAAGACAAAGCCAGCTATCAGACCCCCCAAATCCCTGTTCGAGCAAAAACAAGCTGTCAGACCTTCAAATCCCTATTTGTGCAAAACCAAGCTGTTAGACCCCAAAATCCCTGTTTGAATAAAAGCAGGCAGTGAGACCCCAAATCTCTATTTGGGAAAACCCAGCTGTTGGACCCCAAAATCCCCGTTTGAGCCAAAACAAGTCACCAGACCCAAACACCCAAACGCCCATTTGAGCAAAAAGAAGCCATCAGACCCTAAACCCCTTATTCAAAAAAAAAAAAACAAAAAACAAACCCCAAACCAAAATAACAACAAAAAACCACACCAAAACAAACCCAAAAACAAACAAACAACAACAACAAAAAAACCCACAAAATAAAAATAAAAAAACACACACAAAAAAAATTTAGCTGTTGGATGCCTTGGGCCCCTAAATTCCTTATTTGAGCAAAACCAATCATTCAGACCCCAAAATTCCATATTTCAAAAAACCAGCTCTCTGGTCCCCAAATCCCCATCTAAGCAAAACCAAGCTGTCAGACCCCAGAATTCCCATTTGGAGTAAAACAGGCAGTTCGACTCCAAAATCCCTGTTCGAGCAAAACCAAGTTTTCAGATCCCCAAATCCCTACGCACGCCAAAAGAAGCCACCAGACCCTAAAATCCCCATTTGAAAATAAGAAAGGCAGCGTCAGACCCCAAATTCCTATTTCAGGAAAACCCAGCTGTGAGACCTCGAAATCCAAGCCATCAGTTCCCTCCAAATCCCCCAAATTTGAGCCAGACGGAGCCGTCCCTCCCCAAAATCGCCGCCGGAGGCGGGCACAAAGAGTTAAACTCCCGCGGGCGCCGTGGCCAATCCCACCGAGCAGAGGGCAGCCCTTGGCCCCGGCCCAGCGGCAGGTTGCTCTCCGCAGGTATTATTTTGGAGTTTTTTCCCGGGATACCGGGCAGGGAAACAATGGATTTCGAGCTCGGCGAAGGATGGGGGAGCCGCAGGACGGACCCCTGGGCTGCCCAGGTAAATCCCGGTGGGTGCTTTTTCCGGGAATCTTTCCTTTCCTCTCCTTCCCCCCTTCTCGCTGGGTGTCTTTGTTTGGGGCCGGGCAGGGGAGCGAAGGGTTTTTGGTGGATTAAGTGCGGGCTGAGCTGGTGGGACCCTTTGCAGGTGATTTTTTTGGGGTGGGACCTCTCCAGCGGGCTGGGGTGGGAGCAGGGATGGGGGTGCACGGAGGTGGGGTGATCAGGATGGGGGAAGCTGCTGTTTTCCCCCCCTCTGAGCTCCCCCTGGATCCAGCTGGCAGCTCCCAGCACCGGGACCTTGCACCCCAGTGGGTTTTTGGGGCACCGCTCCGGTTTAGCTGGCGGTGGGGTCAAGCCACCACGGGGACGAGCCACCGCGGGGACTCGCTCCCCGCGTCCGTGGTGTCCGAGGAGGAGCGAGAGCGCTTCCTGGGCTGGCTCCGCGCTCTTGAAATTCCTCAGGGCGAGTTAATGATAAATCCCGGCCGGGCTGGCGGCGTGGGAGGCGGGTGGGAGCCAGTGGAGGGTCCCCTCGTTGTTCTTCCTCCTTTGGGAAAGGTCTGGGAGTGGCAGAGCCGGGCAGGGCTCGCGGGGGCCGCTGCTTGGAACCCTTCCCGGGTGATGGATCATCCCAAAGGGCAGGATCGGCCCTCCCCCTGCAACACCACGTGCAGGGCAGGGGTCTCGATCCTGCAGGGATTTGGGGACAAGGGGAGGGGGGATCTGGTGACTCCTGCTCCCACCGCGAGGCGCTCGGGGCCAAGGAGTGGGGCTGGAGCAGGGGGTCACATCGGGATCCCTGGGATGTGGGGATGTGTGAGGATGCTCAGGCAGGTGCTGGGGTGCCAGGCAAGGGATGCAGCTCCATGCTGGGGAAATTCCAGGGGCAGCAGCTCCGTGCAGTGAACCAGGAGTTCCCTCATACCCCCGGATCAGGGAGCACCACGGGATCAGCCGGGAGCAGCTGTCTCCAGCCACATTGCCAAAGGGGTTTTGGTGGATTATGTAGGGCTGAACCAGTGGGACCCTGTGCAGGTGTTTTTGGGGGATGGGATGTACCCACTGGGCCGTGTTTGCACCGGGGTGTCGGAGCAGGGATGGGGCGCTCCAGATGGGGAAAGCTCACCCTGGATCCAGTAGAATCCCCTTAACAAGGGGAAACTGAGGCACACAGGGCTGGGATGACCTCAAGTACTCCAACCCATGGCATGGAGCATCCCAGATGCTCGGCCCCACAGCCAGCACTGAGGCTGCTCCATCAAACTGCCCTTTCCCTATACCGAGTGAATTCCGGGAATTTTCCTTGTCCACCAAAGTTGGTGTTTTCTGGGCAGCCACTGGGACCTCACTGGGGACAAGGACACAACCAGCACTGAGCATCTTCTGAGGGCAGCCACGAGGGCAGGTGGGCACAGGTGAGACCGTGGCCTAACCCTTCCTGATGGACACCTGGGATTTGGGATGGCAGTTTGGGCTGGGTTTGAAACCACTGTGTCCCACTGGCACTCTGCCCCTTGGGATGATGGGGACAGAGATGGCATGTCATGGAAAATCCCTCCTATCTGCCCTCAGGTGCATCCTGGGGGATCCAAAATCCAGGGCTCTGACAGCAGACAGGGAAAAAAGGGGGTAAATTCCCCTGAGGGTGAGGACTCTTGTCAGGTGGACAGCCCTGGTGTGGCTTCCCAAAACCTCCGTGGCAGGACAATTCCTGGTGGAAGGGTCCTTGGGGAGTCTCCAGACCACCTCAGTGCTGAAGGCAGACTGAGCTGTGGCACCAGACCCTGCTTGGTCTGTTCAGGGCTTGAAACACTCGCAGGATGGAGCCTAAAAAGCCTCCCTGGGACCCTGTACCTTGGAGATGCACCTTGTCACACCTCCAGGTCACCTGCTGAGGTTTCTCTGGGGCTTTGCTGCAGCCTCCACAACAACTTTTTCTTTCTTTCCTTACTGGAGCAGCTTGAGATCAGTGCAGCCTGCCGGGTGCTTGGCTTTTAATCCCACACCTTTGCCTGCTCCTTTTGGATCCAGAAAATCCTGTGGGTTAAAACTGGGAACGCCCTGAGATGAGCTGGGGTGGAGGTGGGCTTGGGACAGGCGGAGCAGCTCGTTCTGGATGAGCAGTGGCAATGCCCAGATGGATTTATTGATTATTTTGCTGTCCACAGAGGGGTTTCCAGGCAGGCAGGGGGGGTGTTCATTCCAGGAGCACCCTGAGGGAGCGGGGAGGGGGAAGGAGGACAAGCAGGACACGGAGCCAAGGCCATGTGCAGATTGCGGCCGTGCTTTGCCGTGATTCCCCTCCTGCCACTTCCCGGGGGACAGGGAGGGGTGGCACTGGACTGTGTCCCTTAAACACAGAGCAACTGAGGAGGAAAACTGATAGCAAAGGGGGAGGATTGGCAGGGAAGGTGGAGCTGGAGCAGGCTGCACTATTCGGGCTTTGTGGGGGAGAACAATGGAGCCTTTATTGGGGAAGGGAGGTGGCTGCTGGCAGGGACAGTTTGATACACAGAGTGTCCCTTGGCCAGATGGGGGGACAGGGCACGGGGATGTGGGCTGGGACAGTTTGGTACCCAGTAGTCAGCTGTGGGGGCAGGGAACTGGGACATGGGGTGGGATAGTTTGGTGCTCAGCGTGTCCCTTGGCCAGCTGGGGGGGATGGGAAAATGGGACATGGGATGTGGGATGAGACAGTTTGGTGCCCAATGTGTCCCTTGGCCAGCTGGGGGAATGTGGAAATGGGACATGGGATGTGGGATGGGATAGTTTGGTACCTTGGCCAGCTGGGGAGATGAGAAAATGGGACATGGGATGTGGGATGGGATAGTTTCATACCCAATGAGTCCCTTGGCCAGCTGGGAGAACATGGAAATGGGACATGGGGTGGGACAGGTAACCAATGTATCCCTCAGCCAACTGAGGGGACAGGGAAATGGGATGGGACAATTTAGAACCCATAATGTCCTTTGGCCAGAAGGGGAGACAAGGAACAGAGACATGGGACGTGGGATGGGACAGGTTGGTCCCCAGAATGTCCCTTGGCCAGCAGGTGGGACAAGGAATGGGGACATGGGACGTGGGATGGGACAGGTTGGTTCCCAGAATGTCCCTTATCCACAGCTGTAGGAAACTGGGACACAGCAGATGAGACAGGGGATGGGCCAGCTGGGTACCAAACATATCCTTGGGTGGTGAGACTTGTCCCAAGGTGTCACTACAAGCCCCACAAACGCTGACATGACTCTCCTTGATGTGGGTCACCCCTCCCAAATCCCTTGGCAACCGGAATTGCGGTGGGTGGTTTACGGGAGCGCATCGGGCTGGCTCTGGGGACCCTGGGGACCCTCACAGCTGGGAGTGAGGAGCATCCCAAGCTGGGAACATCCTGGACCGAGTGCTGCCACCTACTCCAGCCCTTGGCAGAGGGGCTTTGGGGATGGAGGAATGCATCAATCCCGCCGGGCTCTCCCTCAGCAGCTCAAGGAGAGCTCCCCCGAAGAGCCGCCTGGGCCTTTTCATCTCATCTCTTTTGTTTCAGGCTTATTATGTAAATAGCTGCTGCGGCCCCCATAATGAGAAAGTAGTTTCCCAGAATACAAAAAGCTGTAATTATCTCATTAGCAGGCGGAAAGGAAAAGGAAATGTTTCTAAGCCACTCTCGCTTTTATTTCCCACAGAAGCCCGAGGAAGAGCAGCCCCTGAAACGGGGTCCTGCCTGCCCCCAACCCCACCACCCACACCTGAGGCTGACACTTTTTCAGGAGGGAAAAGCAGAACGTGGTCCTCGTGTCCCAGAAATAGGCTTTTACTGGGAGGGTGGGCAGCTTTTAACTGGGCCCAGTTACTCAGAGGATGCTGCTCCCTGTGCAGACCCCTCAGTGCTCTCAGATGTGGGGAGAGGGGGGTCAAGGAGGGACAAAGCCCCAGATTGGATGTTCCTCAGCAGGACTCCCAAGCTGGGATGGTAGCACAGAGCTTCAGGATGGGTTTCTGGGGCTGCATGCCTGCAGCAGAGTGTGATGGAAATAGCCTTAGGATACATGGAGGCTGCTCCCAGGAGAAGCCATGTAGGATGGCTTTGGTGTTGCTTTGCTTTCTGAACTCAGGCATTCCTTGCTTCCAGCTAAACAGAGCTACAAAGGTCCCTGCAAAGCACCCCGGGGCTGCAGGCAGGGGCTGCTGCTTGCTGAGGTCTCCAAAACCCCTTTCTGGAGGGGTTTGCTTCCACCCACACTCTGTTCCTCAACCCCAATCCTGGTACAGGATGGTTTCATGCAGAAACACCCCCCAGCCCTTCTCCCCAGGGCTCGTCTCAATCCGTTCTCCACCCAGCCTGTCCTCGTGCTTGGAATTGCCCCGGCCCAGGTGCAGGAGCTGCAGGATCTCCCAGGCCATGGGGGCTTGGGGTGAGAAAACAACTTTCTACTCATTTTAACCTGAAAATCCAACCCCAGAGCTTAAGTTTCTGTAGCCCAGCAGCAACCACAGAATGACTGAATGGTTCAGGTTGGAGGGAGCCCTGGAGGTCACCTGCTCCAATCTCCCTGCTCAAGCAGGGAACCCTGGAGCGCCTTACTCGGAATTGTGTCCAAAAGTAAATCCAGCCATAAATCCTTTGCACAGAGGGATGGAAGTTGTGCAGACACCTATCAACCCCATGGCCCAAGAGGTGTCTGGAGGTGGCTACAAGAACTTGACACTCCTTGACCCTCCAACCTGCCTTCCTGAGTTTGCCTTTTAGCCCTGAAGGGGGGAAAAATATCCCCATAGCAACGCTCCCATGCCCTTCAGCAGGGATAAATGGGAAAAGAGAGGTTTGTGTCCCAGGGAAGCAACAGGAGTTGTTCATTTGACTTCATCTGGCTTTCGGTTGTGGAAAAATCCTGTGGTTGAGGAGCCTGAGATGTGCATGTTTTTGCAGACAGGTTTGATTGTGTTCGTGTTGTATTCCAGAGGTGGAGGAAAACCTGGCAGCCACCAAGCCAGGATGGTGGAGTGGGGGGAA